AGATCATTTGGCCCATTAGGGCATTCCCCACCATCTTGGTCGGGAGGGGTTCAATGCAAGACTTGACACCACCACCTGTTACTGCGAAGACTGTAAGGGATGACGTAATACTTCATAGGGCAAGGCTCGTGGTTTGGTTCTTCCTAGCTAGACGAAGACCATAGGGGAACACGTGGCATGCTGACATTTGCTTACATGGCGTTTTTCTGCCCATGTGGCTTCCTTATGGATTATGGTGTAACATGTTTCCAGTTTAAAAGATTAACTTATTAGGAGTCGTCAATTCTCTTATAATTGAAAACCATTCTCACATCTAGTTGATATTAGACATTATTGTGTAACTTTTATTCAATATCACCCTCAAATGTAGTACCACAACATTTTTTCTCCATAAAGCGATGTCTTCTTTAAGTCGCGAACTATCACAATCTCCATCAACGCTTACGCTTATACTTTTTAAGGAAACCATCTCATGGTTACAATTTCCTTAGGAGCCAATCACATATTTATAGACCATTTCAACTAATTGATCTTTCACACACATAGGAAGATTGAACTTACGCATTTATATGACTAATTTTCAAAATGACTCTAATGTCAATTATTGAGAACATAAGGTTTCATCACAAAATGTTATAACTTATGAAGATGATCAGTAACTCAATTCTTCCAGGACCATCGATATGTTTAACTGATGCATAACCTTTTTTTTACTGGTTAATTTCACCAATGGCCATAAAACTTTAATTTGTTCACCGTAGCTACTAAACTTTCCACCTAGTGTTACCATGCAATCGTACTTTAATTTGTTTCTTACAAAGTTCGGGCAAATAGCACTAGGGGCACTAACCTTTGACCTTTTGACAATGAGTCCCCAAACCTTTGATTCCTACACTCGAAGTCCGAATTCTTTCAAATGTGTGTATCTAAGATCCTTTTATAATGGAGAATATCACTTTGACCATCAAAATGACAAATTTTGAGTATAATGATCATTGTACCCTTGGTTTGTTAAAAGAAAAGAAATAATTTGAATTAAAACAAAGGAATAGAATTAAAGAATAAAAAAAATTAAAAAAAAAACCTTAGTCCAATCACTTGCCCTTAAAAAAAACCTAGTCCAATCACTTGCCCCCACCCACCAAACATGCTCAAAGTAGCTGTTGCCACCACCGTCATTAATTCAAACACAAATTCAATTTTTTTTTATGATAGAAATAGATAAAACTACAAAGTTCTTTCATTAGAACTTTTTATATTTCATTAAAAAAATCATGTCCTTTTACATTTTTTTTTAAATCAAACTAAGGGTATACGGTCATTTTAATCAAAATTTGGTCATCTAACAGTCAAACTGATGTTTTCCTTTATAAACGAATTTGGGGCGTAGCAATTTGAAAAGGCGGGACACCAAGTGCTACAAGTCAAAGTTTTGGGACCCCAT